GTAAACCTCCGATAAACCTCCTTTAATCTTTCTAGGAATGCTGTCGGGGTTTCTTCTGCCCCTTGGGTGGTCTGTCTTACCTGAGCCAAATTGGTGGGCCGCCGCGCCCTGCTGCATGGAGACCCGCTATGAGTAACTGGCGATAGAGACGTAGGTGGTCCCTACCTGCTTCAGTTGTATAGTCCCAGTTTGGCCGGATTAAAGGAAAAGCTTCATTAATCAAATTTGGGAGTAGGGTGGGACGCCCATCGTCCCCTGGCACATTTTTGCGAGCTTCCAAAAGAACTTTCTGTTTTTCCTCTGAAGTGAGGAGTATCTGCAGGAGCTGCTGACAATCATCCCATGTTGGCTGATGAGTTACTAGAATAGACTCAATCAGAGAGGTTAAAGCTATAGGGTCCTTAGAAAATGGAAGGGTTATGGGTTTTCCAGTTATAGAGGTCAGAGGCAGAAAAGGGCCAGTACTGATATTGGCCATTGGGGCCCCCTGTCTGTCGCAGGGGGAGAACTCTAGAGGTGTCTCCTGAGGCGGTGTAATCCCGGCGCCCCCAGAGTCGTCCCACCATGGGAGATGGATCCGGGGGAGCACTGGCGGCTGGGCTTTCCTGATTCTCGTCCTCGGAGGATGGCTGATTAGGTTCAGGGGCTTGTAAGGGTTGGGGCTGATAGGGAGGAGGCTCATCAGTCAGCAAGTCAATCAGAGCTGAGTCCTCCGGCGGTAGAACCTTTTTTGGAGTTGTCCCTGTTTTAACTGAGGTCTCAGATTTGTTAAGAACAGGGTAAAGACGAGAGGTTTGGGGAGGGGGAAGTGGAATGAGGGGAGCAGAGGGTTCAAGGGGAGAACGGAGAGGGGGTTTGGGTGGAGAGAAAGGAGCAACCCAAGGGGGGGGGGTTGGAGGCTAAGTCCTCCCAGGTAACAATGTAGGGTATCTGGTCGGGGTGTCCATGAGGACCATGGGTGAAGATTCGGGTTTTCACCTGTAAGATAAGATTAACGTCAAAAGTCCCTTTGGTTGGCCAGCCGGTGTTAAATGTTGGCCATTCCGAAGTACAGAGAGTTTTCCATTTCTTCTTTTTGACCGTCACAGACAGGTTGTCTGCCCGGTCTTGAATATCTTGCCAATGATCTAGAGTTAGGCTCAAAGGGGTTGTTAGTGATTGTCCCATGTTACTTTCAGAGAGGAAATAGAGAGACAGACACAACGACACAAAAACGAAACCAAATAGGGAGAAAGCTGCGCGGCTTCGGTGAAAACCGAAAAAATCAGATGGCCTGGGAGAAGTTCGTACTTCTCCGCCGCCTACAAAAACGGTGTATCCCTCGGAAACACCGGGGGCCCCAAAGAAATGGACCCCTCTGATCCCTGGGACGTCTCCCAGGGTGGCAGGGGAGAAGTCCGAGTTCGTCAACTCTTTCTCCGGCTGCCTCAGAAACCTGAGTGATCACAGAACTGCCTCAGAATCAGAATACTAGATGACTATGCCTAGTCTTTCAGACGCTGCGCAAAACAGAGAACAGATAGCCAACAGGACAACAAGATAGACAGTTCGGGCTGGCCAGCTTACCTCCCAGTGATGTCGGGTGTCCTCCGGATAGGGATCGGGATCGGAACCGGGATCTTGGATCTCGGTGGGACCTCCAAAATGAAAGATCCACAGATCCCAAACCCGGAATGAACCACACGAGACACTGGCTGCAAAAAGCAGGAGGCGTTTATTCTCACACAGGCGCCTGCGGGTGCTCAGCGTAACCTCAGCCGGAGCTTCGGTGAACTGGCACACCGGGCTTTGGGGTACAGATCTTTTATAGGGAACAGGTGGGTTAGTTCTTAGCTTAGCACAGCAACAGCCTTTCTGTTGGTCCCTCTGAATCCAGCAGTTGGGTCACCTAGGGGGTAAACTTGTTTTTCAACTTTTTGTTCTCGGAAAAACCATAAGATTGCATTCTGTCCTTTCAGTTCCTGTTTTTAAACCTAGTTCTCAAGTTTAACCGGTAGGGCTGTCTAAAAGGAACATCTTGTGGTAGGGGGCCCGTTAGGGTTATCTACATGGAACATCTTGTGGTAACATTGTGCAACACCTGAGGTGCTACGTGCTGCTGGAGGGGTTCTGACATGGGGGTTGGGTGAGGGAGCGTCTTGCAGCTTTGAGGCCTAGGGGTTAGGTCACCTAATGCTGGGCCTGGGTCTTGAGGTCCTTCACTATAATTTTGGAATACTTCAAATTGTGAAACTTACTTACATCCAATCTGATCTTAAGAGATCTCATAAATTTATGTTAGAAACAGACTTATATTTGAAATTCCAACAAAACCAGTTCACATGATTAAACCTCCAAACTCCTATTATCTAAAATGAATTCTAGAATCAAGTGTTCTTTGGACTGTCAAACACTTATGCTTTTACTAAAGTGTCCCCCTTCCCTTTCTCATAAATCTTTGACACCTGTCAAACCAGGTTCTTTTATTTTTTATTTTTAGTAGACTGTAAATTTAGTAATGAAAATTTCTATATACCACCACCCATAGTCCCACACATGCACAGATTTTTCCTTATCAATAACCTCTCTGAGGTGGTATGTTGGCTGTGTTGATGAACCTACATTGAAACATAAGAATTTGCTTTAGGGTTCACTTATGATGCACATTCTATAGATTTGGCCAATGATGTGTATCCACCACTCTAGTGTCATGTAGAATACTTTCACTGTTCTACATACAGTTCCTGTTCTATGCCCATTCAGCTCTCCCTTCCCTAAAGTCTCTGGAAACTGCTTCTATTTTTACTATCTCTACGGTTTTACTTTTTTGCAGACTGCTGTATGGTTGGAATTATGTAGTATGTAACTTTTATAAGTTGGCTTCTTATGTTTAATAATATGCATTTAAGTTTCTTCCATGGCTTGCTTAACTCATCTTTTAAGCACTGAAAAATAATTTCATCATTTGGCTATACCACAGTGTATTTATCAATTCACTCACCAAAGGACATCACTGGTTGCTTCCAAATTTAACAATTACAAATAAAGTTGCTATAAACATCAGTGTGCAAGTTTTCAACTCCTTCGGGGCAAATTCCAAGAAGTATAATTTCTGGATCATATTGTAAGAATATGTTAAGTTTTTTAAGAAACTTACAAATTATCTTCCAAAGTGACCATACAATTTTGGTATTCTTATCAGCAATGATTGAGATTTGTTCACTTTATTTTTGAGTTAGGTCTTCTTTGATTCCTTTTGCATGATATTTCTTTTCCTCTCTCTGAACCCATTTAGCACTCTGCATCCTAATTTAACACCTATAAAATTCCTTGCTCTGTGAATATAAACTCCTCTGGCAAGGTCATTGATAAGTCTCCTGTTGTGATACTTGTGATACTTCATTTGTTAGCTTGAAATTTTTTGAATGAATTAAGAAAGTTCAAATTTTTCATCATATTATCAAGCATATGATATGTATGTCATTGGATAACATTTTTTTTGTTTTGCAAATTTGTGTCTCATGCTAAGGGTGAAATCAATTTATGTGCGTATATGTGTGTGTATCTATCTATCTATCTATATATAATAAACATTATATATTTCATGAGAAAGTGAGATTCAGTTATTTCTTGTCAGCTATTTTGTTGGATATATACATGCTTGATTCATATGAAAGAAATTGCATTTGAAATTATTGACTCTTTGCCCCAGATTTTCAGCTGAATAAAACAAAGCTGTTGTTGCAATAAGTGCTGAACTTTTTAAAAATAAAATCTAATGAGGTTAGTATATACTTTGACATTTTATTTTCAATCAATGAAGGTCATAGCTGAAAGGTCACAAAGAAGAATTTGAACAGAAAATAAACAACGCTATTATTTTCCAAAGAAAATAAAATATTGCTGTCTATAGCCTTTTGTGTCTAAAAGGATGTTCAAATGTTTAATTTTGGTTCTCTAGATGTATTATCCTTTCATTTTCTATCTTTTCAAATGTAAAAAGAAAATACACCTAGCTTGTCTGTTAGGAACTAATATAAAATATATAGTTTTTGTTTATATTCTAACATGTTCCTATTTAAACTTTACATTTAATTCCTAAATCTACTTAGTACTTGTTGAGTGATAATTGTTTTGTTGAATTTGATATTTATTTATTTGCCGAACTTCCTTTTGATTTGGACAATTTTCTTTATTGTGTATGTGCAGGTTCCTCAACTCTTCTTTCTTTGGTTTTTACAGTAAAACTGAAAATTTACCATTAAAAAGAACATGGAAAAGTGGGTTTGGAAAGTGAGGGCCAGGGTTATGGTAAAATAGTGAAAAGTGTGTGTGTGTGTGTGTGTGTGTGTGCACGCATGTGCGTGTGTTTGTTTGGGGCTCAGGGATTGAACCATTGAACCCAGGGACATTTAAACACTGAGTCACATTCCAACATTTTTTTTTCTTCATTTCTTATTCTGAGTCAGGTCTTTCTTAGGGCCTCACTAAGTTGCTAAGGCTCGCTTTGAACTTGTGATCCTCTTCAGCCTCCTGAGCCACTGGGATTACAGGCATGTCCCACCACACCCAGCTATAAAAAAGTGTGTTTTTTAACAGGATAAACAGAAATTATTAACTGTTTCCATTTACACCTAAGTATATAACATGGGATTCATATATTTGTGCCAGATCAAGACAATTTAATTTTTTTTTTTTTTTTTTAATATTTATTTATTTTTCGGTGGACATAACATCTTTGTTTGTATGTGGTGCTGAGGACCGAACCCGGGCCGCATGCATGCCAGGCGAGCGCGCTACCAATTGAGCCACATCCCCAGCCCCAAGACAATTTAATTTTAAAAATAATTTATTAAAATGTTCATGAAACAAAGTTCAAAAGCTATAAACCATGTCAAAATGGCCACTTTATGTTGATATCTAGGTAACAATTTTTGAAGAAATAATATTCCATATTTCATAACTTTTATTTTAAAAACTAACATGAGATAGGATCTAATCTAGCATGTGTTTTACTTTAGATGAACTCACGAATTCATCAGAAACCAGGCTGTCTTTAGAAGATCTGTTCAGGAAAGACTTTGTGCTTCACAATCCTGAGGCTCGATGGATCAATGGTATGTAGAGACTTTTTATATATTATGTTGCTTTTAATCCTTTATAATTTAAATTAGAAGTGATATTTGTAGGTGATATTTCAGTAGATGCTATTCTTTGAACTATAATTATATGTATCATTTAACAAGAAATCAGAATGTTGCCTCATATGAGAGACAGTCAATTCCTAAAATAATGCATCAATACAACTATCTTCCAGACATTGTTAATTATGCAGTAGCTGCTGTTTTTTTTTCCCCTGGCCTGGCACAGAAACCATTTCAACTTTCCTTAAATTAATTTCTTAGATGAAAATTGAAATGGGAAACCACTGAGTAGCTCCCTGGATTCTGGTTTGTCATTATGGACGGTAATACAAGGAGCTATTGTTGAACTAATTATGAGAAATGTGTTGGTGAAAAGGAAGTCACAGGCTTTCATTTTTGTGAATATTCCAATTTCACTGATATTACTAATCATCAGGGTTGGATAGTTGTTAATATCTGCCCTTCACTTTATTTATAGGTAATGTACTTGCTTGTATCTAAAGCATAGATGTAATTATTTTTATAATACATAAAAAGCTTTGCCTTTTAATCTAATACATATTATCTCATTTATAAGTCCATTTCTTCTTCTCCAATATTCTAATTAAGCGAATTTATGCCTGCAAATTAGACTTTAATTTATGGAAGCTATAAAAAGAATGCAATTTAATTCATAAGGGCAAGGACCAAATTATACTTGTTTACCTGGCACTGGTATAGATCGGGGAGATCCACAGGCATTAAAGATTTATTTTTTAAAATAAAACAGATGAATATTTTAAATTGAAACCCACTATCATTTTTCCCCAAATTCAAATTTCTGTTGAAGTTTGTTACAAGGTAATTATGTATCATGGTGGCAGTGTTACAGATATAGAACATAATCCAGCATTTTTCTTAATAATAATATTATTACCAAATATGGCCCTCCCACAGAAATTTCAGAAGTCATCTCACAATGTGTGGTTGTAATTATGTGAATCATCAATTCACTTACTAGTTAATATTTTCTCTTAATGGAGACGATGAAAAAGGAAGTTGTCAGAATTTTCAAGAATACTGGTAGTTGTAGGTTGGTGTTGGGTTGCTCTGCATGATGAATATCAGTGCTGTTTTTTTTCCTCTGGTCTATTTCTTTAAAAAAAAAAAGAATACTGGTAGTGTTGTGTTATGTTTGAAATGCTGAATAATTTCCTATTTGATTGAAAATGACTTTGGACAAATTACGGAAATCTGTGCAGTCTTTGGCTTAGGAAAGTAACAAAGGAATCTTGACCCCCATCTCCTTCTCAGGTTAGCTTGGACTACTTAAAGATGCAGTTACTCCTGTGTGAAACTGACACTTTTATATTGAAGTTCCTAAGGAATGAACAGATATTCAAGCAGTGAAGTGCATGCTAAATTAAACCACATTTTAATATCTAGGACACAGATTCTACTTTTATACTTCATAAGATATCAGAATGATGTATTTGGACTTAATCATTTTAATCACTTTTTTAGTAATTTCTTTACCAAGCATTGGTAACCTTGATCTTGAGAAGGCAGACTTGAGCAAAGCTGCAGTGTTACTGGAACATTTTAAGTAATACATAAGACACATAATATTGATAAAAAAATTGATATAAAACAACCTTTAAACAGAATCTGTATTAAACAGAATGTTGGCTCTGAGAGCAAGGCAGTCTTTATAAATACCACCAAAGGAATTGGTTTTGTCATAGTGGAATGGATTTGTGTACTTACCTAACTCACCCTCCTTTCTGGTGTCACTAGATAGTTATCCTGTTTACATATCCCATATAGCTGGAAAATACAGTGGCAACCATATGAACAGTATGCATAACATCGGCCTCCTTATCAGAGATTATATCTAAATGGAAAGCATGAGCCCCTCCTCTTTATTCTAAGGAGAGGTCTCACCAGGTTTTCTTAATGCATGTGTCACCTGGAGGCTTTCAAGCTAAGCTGATTTAGAAGCTTCACTTAATTCTTGGAGGTCATCATAGGAACACTTAATGCATTGCTGGTCAAGGGTAAGCAGGGAGTCAGGACAGCCCTGAGATGTGTAGGTTGTGGAGAAGCGTCGTCATTCATTATGCAGGTTCTCCAACAATATATTTGAGAATGTCATTGCAGCCTTGGATGGATGCTTGTGTTCATGGTTAACTTAACAACTGCCTTGTCCCAGATCTGTTCATATCCTTGAAATCTCCATTTTTATAGCATCTTTTTCCTAGTCATGTCACCTTGAAACCTAGAAATCCATCTTCTTTAAAATTATTCATTTCTCCACATATATGTGATGAAAAATTGATCATCAAAGAAGGTTCTAATGTTGAGTGCTTCTATGTTAAGCTCCGTGATAGATGCTTTAAATATATATTTCATACCATAGCTTATAACACTGAAATTAACCCCAGAAAACTGATTCTTAATCAAGAAACTTATCCAGACCCATTCAATAAGAGGCAGAGCCTGCTTTAATCATTATGTGTAAGTATGAAACTTACCCTCTCATTGTCTCTCTCCGCTGATATGCCTTTGTCAAATTTAGCATATTAATTTTATCCCTGTCATGATGAATATTACAGTGGTAATTTTTCTCCTCAGGTACATCCACACAGACATAACTTAGGCAGTCACTAAAGATAAATGTTATAAGCATATTTACTGACATGTTCATGATATAACAAAGTAAAAATAGGGACTTCAACAGGCTGGGGTTAGAGCTCAGCGGTAGAGTGCTTGCCTCGCATATGTGGGTTCCATCCTCAGCACACATAAAAATAAATAAAATAAACAAAGATATTGTGTCCATCTTTAAAAAGAAATAGTGACTTCAAACCTGTTAATTTTACCCGATATCACATTTTATTGCACAACAGTGACTGTCTCGATTATTTTTTTCTTATGTCTTATTCCTCTTTTCTTGATTTTCTTCAATAAATGTGTATGCTTCTATAATTTTTGTATAATTACTAACGAAGAGAAATTACTCTCCCCCTCTTTCTGTCTCATGGGTCTCTAATTCCTACAGTAATCTCCTGTCAAATACAACTATGTAAGGCCCAGCTAATAACTGTTAAAATGCTCCTCAAAGACCATCAGGAAGGACTATTTTACCAATTAAATAGAGGAAAGGGGTGTCAAGAATTCCTTTGTTTGAAATTTTGTATACAGACAGTTAACAGGATTACTGTTATACACTAACTTCTGTTATCCCTAAGTCAGAATTAAACAAAAATTTAGAGGAATTTTCAGATTTTGATCAAAAACAGACATAGTGACATTTAAAGATTTTAATATAATACATGAGCTTTCTTCTTTCCTATTAACTAATGCAGGTCAGATTGATAGCACTTATAGGGAATATGATATATCAGAATTCTTTCCTTTTTTTTTTGTTTTCATAATACTCATGACAAAGAACAAATCTGACTCCAAAGTTAGGATGATGATATTGGAAGGAGAAGCTATAAAGCAACTTTAGTAATTTCAGGATATTCATTTTGAGCTTTTATACCAAATGAATTGAGTGATATTGTCGTTTTAAATTTTGTCTTTAACTCTTTGTAATTAGCCACTTCCAAAATGACTCCCATGTAGTATAAACAATTTAAATGTTTTTTTTTTTTTTTATCTAAAATGGACTCTGGATTTTACATGAATCAGAATTGCAGTGGACAAACATACCACCATGTAATGAAGTTTCTATGGATGGCTAGTCTGTCGCTTGCTTACTCCATAAGTGGGACACTTAGTGAAATTGGTCTACTTGTCACATTTTTGTATTGTGCAGCAATGTCAAATTGCTACGAAGGTTTGTACAGCCTTCCTCTTGATTAAACTTATCCTGTCCTGGATCAGTACTTTACCAACTGGCTTTCAGTGTCGCTTGTCAGAGCTCTTGCTCTAAGAGACAGTAGGCAATGAGGAACTAGACTCAGGACACATTCACCTTGAGTTGCTAGTGCTCCATGAGTAGTTGAATTTCTAAGGAAAAAACCTATTATATTTTGTTCATGTGTTCAGATGGGCCCACTTGATCTACAATCAAATGGTTCATTTGGGGGCCTTTTTCTCATGGTGCACATACTCTTTGCTCTGTACAGTTTGAGCTGTAAATGTGATATGAGTTGCTGCACACACATTTTATTTTTAATGGGAATCCGGAATGGGTGATAATGTATGAGGCTCTGGGTTTTATCTTGATATCATCAGATTCATGTTGGAGCCAATTAGAGAAATTTGCCACATGATATTCCAACAGAGATATTTAAACCTGTTATCTTTTAAATGATGTGTGACACTGTAATACACTGAAATAGAAAAGACATTAAATCAAGCTAGTCCAGGGTCTTCCAGCTACTTATTGAAGCTTTTTAAGGCTTGGTTTCTTCATTCAAAGTGTGGATAATAGCACTCTGGCTGGAAGCATAATGAAAAGAAAATGAGCAAAAACCTGTAAGAAACAAAGATGAAAGGAAAAAAAAAAAGGAAAAGGAAAGAAAATATATAAATAAAAGGCCTTGTAGATCTTTAAATGTAAGAGACCCATATAGCTGCTTTTGGACATGTTTAGACATCTGATGTTTCTTTATAAATGCCCCTGGCAGCCTCATTCTCATAAATAATATCCAGGATATTAAAGAGGAAGTGAAAATCCGCTGTCTTAGTGAGATTTCCATCTCTGTGATAAAAATATTTGAGAAAAAGAACTCAAAGGAAGAAGGATATATTTTGGCTAATGATGTCAGAGGTTTCAATCCATGGTTGGCTGACCCCATTGCTTGGTGCTTGAGGTGAGGCAAAACATCATGGCAGAAGGTTATGGTGGTAGGAATCTGCTTGGTTTCTAGCAAGCAGAAAGCAGATACATATATGTGTGTGTATGTGTGCATGAACACACTATTTTATATAGAATATTATATAACATATAACATTTATTTATTTGTTTGTTTGTTTGTTTTGGAGACAATACCCTTCCAAGGCATGCCTCCAGTGAATGACTTCCACCTAGGCTCTGCTGTTAGTAGTTTCCACCACTTTCCAACAGTTCAATTACAAATCCATCTATGGACCCTCCATTGATGAGATCAGAGCTCTTTTGATCCGATCATATCCCCCAAATCCCTATCACTGTGCATTGTTGCCCTGGAGACTAAGTCTTCAACACATTGACTTTTGGGAGACAATCCAGATCCAGACTGTAACAGTCACTGCTGTGAGTTTGACAAAAACCCATACATATTATTGTAGATAATATCAGCGACAACAACAACAAAAAAGAACTCATAATTGGGGGAATCAAACAGTTTAATCTATCCCCTTATTTGTTTGGCATTACTTTACAATGCTAGAATTTTGTACATCTACTTAATTCGACTGAATTGTAGAAGTTGTTGAACTTTGTTCTCCTCTTTTCAACGTATACTTAGTTCTGGGTCAGATTATCTCATTTTTAATCACATTTGTACATTCTTTTTATAAATTTTTATTTTTATAATTATCAACCAAGTTGACATTTAAGTAAACTAGATTTAAACTTCTGAGTTTCTTGATGATAACATTCTAATTGCAATCTTATTTATAAAGACAGAATATTTGATATTAAATATTTAAACTTACATAAGTGGTTAAATAATTTTACATCTATTTAAAGGAATACTCGATACTAAGCATAAATGTTTCAAATAAAAACTAATGTCACTTGGTCAGAATGAAATGTCATCTTAAAATTGTATAATACAAAATTATATGTATTCAAAATTTCATCACATACTTGTACATACCTGTATGTGCCAAGTAAATACCAGAAATAAATATGCCAAAATATTAAATAATTTTCTGAATGACTTTAAGTTGTCATTTTTATTTTTTTATTTTTTGTCCACATTTTCTAAATTTTCTTCAAGTATGCTATCACCTTCCACCAGAGAAGCAGTGCAGAGAGATATGGAGGTTGGTTCTGATCCTGGGAAGATGAGAATGTTCTCAGCCCATCATTGAGCTGGCAGGCTTGAGAGTTGTGGACCTTAATAACAGCACTTTCATTCCCTGGTCTCCCAATTGGTTGACTTAGTATTCCTTGTAGTTCATTACCATCATCTTTCTTCAAGTAATATAAATACATAAGAGGGCAATAGAAATTATGACATCCCTGGTTCCTGATTCATAGCTCAGAGAATTGAAAATTAGTTTAGAAATATAATGAATTGTTCTCAAGGCTGACCTTTCTTCTTAAAGTAATATACACTGAAGTATCTCACCAACCAGAGAAGATAATTTCCTGATGAAAACTAAAGAAGCACTTATAAAAGCATACACTTAAACATATTCACATCTCTCCAAAGAACCAAAATATGTTTTTTATATATTAATTTTAAAATTGTGCTTTTACTGAAATTTAAATTAAATTTCATTGATATCAAATTGTTTGAACTGAAGAATAAAATACAAATTTATATTACAAGAAATTAATTCTATGGAAATCTTCTATACTAACTGGAGATAATCAAACTATTTTTTGAAGTTCAAATCTAAATATTTTTCTTGAAGGTAATATTTTTAAGATTCCAGTTGGTCTTAAAATAACAATATTTATACTAAATACTAAGAGAGTAAGGAAAGATCTTACCCAAAAATCTAGTGTTAATATTTCAGAAAAAAATCAATAAAAAATATCTGTTTGG